CGTGCCTTTGAGGATTGCACTGCTTTGACGAGCCTGATCATCTCTGACTCAGTGACCCACATTGGGGCTTTTGCCTTTGATGGTTGCAGCTCTTTGACAAACTTGACCATCCCCAACTCTGTGACCCGCATGGGGTGCTGTGCCTTTCACAATTGTAGCTCTTTGGCAAGCTTGACCATCTCAAGCTCACTGACGCACATTGAGGATCGTGCCTTTGAGGATTGCGCCTCTTTGACTGACTTGATCATCCCAAACTCAGTGACTCACATTGGTGTTGCTGCCTTTCAGAATTGTGGCTCTTTGGTGCAGTTGACCATCCCGAACTCAGTGACCCACATTGGAGACTATGCATTTGCAAACTGTCATTCTTTGGTGAACGTTATCATCCCAAACTCCGCAACCCATGTTGGACAAGGTGCTTTCCAGCATTGCGACTCTTTGGTGCAAGGGATGCCCACATCTCACATGCACACCTGTAAAGACTGCAGCATCGCGTAGAGTTCTTCCACTGCACCAGGAGTCACGTTCGACGGCGGTGCCGGTTCCGAACCGTTCGGAAGGAATTCGTCGGTGCCCCGTCGTCACCATCCACGGCCCCTGGATGTGACGGCCTAGGGCAGGGCATTTGCGGACCTGCGGAGCTTCTCCGGTCGAAAACACACGTCGGACGCTGCTCGCGTCTCGGAGGCGGTCTCGCGGAGGTTTTCGTCCACCTTCTCGCAACGGAAGGACGGGAGGACGGTTTCACACCCAACACGCGAAGCCCGGCATCGGGAGATGCCACCGATTTGACCACGGTTCGCTGTTTGGCGCCTTCAGAACACAGCCGCAGTGTTTGATGGGACTTGTGGGGGGCCGTGATGAGGCACCCCAGGCACCCCAGGCACCTGGTGCACACACCCCAGGCACCCCAGGCACCCCAGGTCCTCGTCCCTGCCAGGCCTTGCAGCACCCCTTCATCAACGAAGACGTGGGGGGGGGGCCCCACCCGGGAAGACGGGACGGAACGGTCGGACCGGTCACCGAGCGAACCGCCGAGCGAACCGTGGCCGTCGTTCTTGTTCCAGGACACCCCGAAGCCTAGAGGTGGTTTCGATGGATACGGGTCGTAGCTGAAAGAGTCAGAGGTGAGGGAATGGGGTGTCCATTCACCACCCCGACACTGGGTCCAGGTTGAGTCTTAGTGTCCAGGACAGGGCGAACAGCGCCCAGGTGAGCAGATGGCACCGCCCCTCATGAGTTCTCCAGTCAGTTCTGGGAGTTTCTCGTTTCTCGGTGGCCGGTGCAGGCAGACAAAAGAAAGGTGGGTTTTCGGTGGTTCTGCGACTTCTTTCTTTTTTTCTGAAAGGCGAGATTCAAGATCTTCAATTCACAGTCTTGTAGAATTTATATCTAGATCTTCCAACGACGTGCAACATGTATGGTCTTTTCATGATTTTTCATCCGTTTAAAACGTCAGCCAAGTTTGGCAGAACAGCTTGGCATGTCGTTGGAAGATGTTGGAAGATCTAGGTCCTATAGGTTGTACCCTGCAGGCCAGGAACGGACCGAACATGAAACTTCGACCGGGCAGACTGGACCGACCGGGCAGACGGCGTAGACCTACACTGATTGAAATCATCACGGGATCATCGAGACCGGAAAATCGTCCCTTGGATGAGCATGGGTCGTCTCTACCCCAGACACGACCGGACTGCCATGTGACTGCCATCCCATTAACCCCTGTGGCACCACCCCTGGCCTGATCGGCATAATATGGCAGTCCCATGGAGTGTTTGGGTACAAACAGGTGCTTTTTTCCACTTCCACTTCTGAGTGACTCGGAGTGTATGTCCTGTTTGTTTCTCTGGGCTTCAGAAAAGCCGGGGCTGTCATAGTGTGTCGCAGCATGTGAGAAAACGTCACGATCAATTCCTCTTCATTCCACCCTATCATAGTCACAATCACCAATTCCCACCGGAAAAAACAACGAGTCTATAAGCCCTACACCTCCGTTTTTTCGTACATCCAAAGCGCTTCGGTATGACACCCGAACATGGCACCCACCCCAGTCCCGGTACGACTGAGGGCCAAACGGGAAGTCGTGGGACGATCCTACAGATCCCGCGCGGCCGCGCGACGCACGAGGCGCCCTTCAGCGAGGGCTTCAGACCTCCCCAGGAGCTCCGCCCAGGTGCAGCTGGTTTGCAAGGCGAGGGGCGCGTGTTCCAGTGGAGGGCGGCGGGAAGGGGGAGGTCCGGAGGTGAGCGGGGTGGGCTCCGGTGCTTCACATGGTTTATGATGTGGTTCTTTTGGGGGGGGTTCAGTGGTGTTACCAAATCCAAAACCAGAAAGGTATATCTGTACCAGGGGTCACAAAGGGGTGGTGGTTGGACCCTGCATGGCACCCACCCCAACCATTGGGACCACCCCGCACAGGACGAGGCGATGGACATCCAGCCACCCCGGACCACGGGCCCTGGACGCCTTTTGGAGAGGTCAATGCCTGGGTGATGCACTGGCGATGCACCCAACCAGTCCATACCAGAAGTCACATGTTGGGGTGCCGAACTTGGAGGATAGGGGTTCCCAGCTACTCCACTCACTTAGAGACAAAGAACCACCCCGTCTTGTGACTCCTGGTATTTGTTTCTTCTTTTTTTCCACCTCTTGGACTCGGTGGGAGTCAGGACGGTGCCGCGCTTCCGAACGGAGGACAAGGGTGCCTAACATCCACCCCGACATGTGGCACTTCCTGCCAGATTGGTCAGAACTGGACGTGTCGCCGTACGACACGGTCGCGTTACGGCATGTCGCGTACGGACAGGACTGTCGCCCAACGTGAATGTGAACTGCCGGGGTTGCCCGGGAGTGGCGCGAGAAGCTGGACTGCTGAGATGGAAGCAGGGGACTTCTGAGACAAAGAATTACTTGAGGACTTGGGGGAATTTGGAAAAAACTATAGGAACATCATCCAGTTGTTATGGTCACTTGGTGGGGTGCTTCAGGAGGTCTGATTCCCACATGTTCTAGCAGATCACTCACGCGGATCTTCATGAGCCAGGGTCATCCAATGCATTCCCCGGGAGTCCAAGACTATCTTTAAAACGGTCTTTAGGTGATCCGAAAAGAAACTTCCTGTACTTGGGTGGTGCCTAAAATAGTCGAACTGGACTTCTAGGGCATTCCAATGCTAACTTCATAAGTCTTCATATCAGCTGCTCCCGAACTGGGTCAGACCGGGTCACGTGGCTGGCGCCGGGCCCGGTCTGGACACCTCGACCGGAAGCACCCTACCAGGTCACCTGGAGACCTGTAGCTAGAGTCAGGTGCAGGTAGGCCTACCAATCAAGTGTTCGTTGGACCAGTGCTCGCCTACCAATGGGCGTCCCATTCATGATCCTCAAACGAGTTGTTGTTTGCTTGGTTTCTGGGGCTCTTATGTTTCCATACCCAGACCATGGATGATGCGACTGGCATATTTACCCACCTTTTGGGGGCGTTTTTTTTTGACGGTCAATGTATAGGCCGGTGTAGGTGAATCTGCCATAGATTGAAGATGGAAAATAGACCAGTCCAAGAGACCTGAACTAGGACTCTTAACTAGTGGTACATATAATATATTATGAGCACTTTTGTTTAGGCTTTACTTAAAGTAGTCTATGGCAGGCTCTATTTGCTTGTCTATCATCAGTATTCGCTTGCGAACGAGATAGGGCCCCCACATATAAACGAGATGCTTTTGCTTGATGACACTAAAGTAGTCTGATTTGCTACCATAAAGTAGTCTGAACCAGATACTGTGACATGGCCTCCTACTAAAGTAGTCTAAACGAGATAGGGCCTCCACATAATAGATATATAGTGTATGTAAGTTTAGTACCAAATAAATATCGCTGCACATATATATGTATATATTATACATTATATGGAATGGGCCAAAAGGGGCTGTTCAACCTCTACTGTACTGAAGTTACACACCCAAGCCTTCTCCTCGTCTTCTCTTCTTTCTTCAGGTCGTCGGGCCAAGCCAGCGCCCTCCAGTACCACCGGTGCCCGTGGAGTACTTCCGTCCGTGGAGTACTTGGGTGATTCCACTTGGGTGTTTTCCTTTTTTTTATGGTCTCAGAAGACTTTGGGAGACTTTGGCAATCTTTAACGGGTACTCCAACAGTGACCTTATAGGACCCTACTGGGGTACCCTATAGGATAGTCTAGAGGGTTCTTCAACCTCTGCTGGCTGTAAGTCTGTCCGACCCTGGAAGCTTGGTGCCAACCAAAAGATCTCCTTTTACGCTGCGCTGATTTCGCCTGACCTCGTGGAAGATCTCGAGCCACCAATCCAAAGCAACGGTTGTTCTTGGCACATGAGATCTTTTGGGGGTAGGGGAACACATCCCCCTAGAAATCCAAAGACTATATTTTGACTGGCTGGAGGTTTCAGGAAGTTCCCGGACTCAGTTCCCCGTTCGTCAGACCATTCTTTTTATAGTCGACTGGACTCCCAGGGATCCATTTATATCTGTTTGGGACTGGGTTTGGTACCCAAAAACACCAGAGTCCCTAACCTCGTGGCTCCGGAGCTCGAGCCGCGCGCGCGCGCGCGCCGCACCGTGCGCGGCTCGGCCGAACCCGGCACGGTTCGCCGAACCGGCCAGGTACGCCGGCGAGTTCGCCGAACCATTCCTCGACGGGCTCGGTGCGGGGCTGAGGTGACGGGCTCGGTGTGGAGTTCGGTCGAAAAAACCGAACTATCGAACTACCTAGAGCCCATTTGACCTCCGTTTTGAAAGGAAAAGACCTTATTTTGGGGTGGTTGGTGATCCAAAATAGAGGTCATTCAGGTTCTAGGTATAGGTACCCCCGGTGACGGGTTCTAGTTCAGGTCACTTGACCTTCTGGGAGGTGTGGGGAGGAGAGCGGTTAGGGGGGGGTTCAATGGGAGCGCCCAGAAGCTCATGGCCATGGGCGACATGCGATGTCGAAAAGGTCCGATAGGAACCGATGTACACTCCGACGAACACATGGAAGTGGATGGCATGGTCCCAATTTCGGAAGACGACGTTCCTTTACGAACAGGGGGTGCCATCCACTTCCATGTGTTCGTCGGAGTGTACGTCGGTTCCTTTCCTGGTGCCACTCCAGTGCAGGAGTTTCTGGCTGTGTGTCATGAGTTCGTATGCATGTTCCTACTGGTGGCTTGGATTCCCTTCCCTTCCGAGAAGTTTGCCTCAGTTGACCTCTAGATGACTACCAGGTGGGCCGATTTTTGAGTCAAAACGGAAGGTTCTGGGTCACTAAGAATCTTTGCGTCCCTCCTCAGCTCTATAGCAGGGATCCGGATTTCATGGCAGGGGCATGCGGGGGGCCACAGGAATTCTGGGGCTTTAATGCTTCAGGGTGTGTTGCCCGATTTCATCCGGCTTCGAGCGGCTCAGGTCCTCTCCGCCAGGCAGACAGGCGCCGTGCTTGCATCATCTTGCGGTGTCACAGGGGGCTTCTGGAAAGAGCTCCAATACCAGCACCTTCCCTGCCAGGTCTCCTCTGGAGGCTTTTGTAGACTCAAAAGTCGCAGGTGGTGACCTGTTGGTGTCGGTCCTGGTACAAAGAGCTCCGGGTTTTTGGGGTTTTTTGGGCTCAGATGGTTTGGGTGAACAAACCATCGTTCACTCGTCCCGAGTTCACTTCCTCACGAGTTCACTTCGTGACGACCCTCCGGACGGGTCGGTGGGGTGAAACACCAGCTGCATGGGTTTCACATGCTTGGCCCCTATGTTGCACCAATACCTGGGGACCTGCGTATCAGGTGATTTGGGTATTTCCCTATGGTTAAATCACCGTCTTTAGGCAAATCCAAGAATAGGATCGATCCATATGACTCCATGTCACTCCATGGGTTACGGAAACTCAAAATTCATCCGTCCCCCCGACAACCGCGTGGGACAATTGGGTGAACAGGCCGAACTTTGAGGCAGTTGAGGTGCAAATCTTCCAGCTCCGGAGTGTCCATCTGTCATAAAGAAGTTATCACAGAGCGAAAATGACCTGAAGCTAAAGGTAATTAAGCCCTATCTTCAGCTGTTTGGCCCCCAAAACCGTGGAAAATCCAAGTGGAACACCTCTGGACCACGAGTTTGCAGCGCCCAATTTCCGGTGAGGGTTACATGATCTCATCTCGCCACACCGGGAACGTTCCTTCTCCAAAAAGGCAGAGGCGCAATACTTCGGGAGAGTACCACTATGTCACCTATGTCTATTCCATTCTATTCCTGCTGACTGCATGCACATGACCCCCCGATCTCATCAGCCAAGTCGTTACGAGGTGTGTCCTCGGGGCCACAGGCGCCTAATCGCGGGGGCCGGTCTGACGAAGTCGTCGTTGGCCAAGTCGTTGAGGATTTGCTGTTCATGCAGAAGATCCATGAAGCTTATTTTTTTCAGGAGGATGGATTCACTTGGGAATGACCTGTGGAACATCAGCACCCCTCACATTTTCTTGGAAGGTGTTTATTTGTTCTTTCCAAAACACGCTGTTTGGCCCGTTGAGCCACCTGTGATAACAGGCAAGTCCCACGGGCAATTTTTTTTGATGCATGGGGCTATTTGGAGGCTATGGCGGTTCTTCAGGTCTAAATAGTTGCCAGCGATGGGTCATCGTTCTTTGATCTGCTCGATTGCGTGCAGGGCGCCCTTTGCGGCGTGACGAGCGTGTGTAGGGTAGTGCGATTGGCGTGGTGGGGGTGGTTTAGACACCCTAGGCGTAGCCTTCTGTTCGACCCTTGAAAGAAAGGGTGACCTGTTGTTGTAGTGTAAAGTTCCTTATACCTGCTAAACCTTATAACCACCTGGACTGGAATTGGTATCTATCCAGGGTAGCAGGTAGTAAAACAATGGCTGTTCGGTAAAGACCATGAAATCAATGGTGCCATGGGAAGCCAGGTTTAGACCACCCCATGTTCGTGCAACACGGTGGCTGCCCGGAGAATCCCCATCTTTGGAGCCTTTTTCGGAGCTCTCTCCTGTACGTCTCTATTGGATTCTTTTGGACCATGTGGACCCGCGAAGTGGGACCAGGCGGCCACCATCCACATCTGGGGGGAGATGAAAAGGGTGCAGTCTACCTTTCCAGACACTTTTTGATCACTGATCTATGACATACCTCGTTTCAACCACCCCATGTGTAAATACCTCCCAGATCCTCTGGGACGACCCATGGATCCGCCCCGCCCGTTCGGATTCCGCCGATGCCGATTCCGTCCGATCCGCTGCGCAGGTGCCGTTTTCGCCGTGGCATTTGCCCTCGCCGGGCAGTGCATCGGCGTCTTGGACGGAGGGCTCACCGTGCCGCGGGGCGACCGGGCTGGGGGGGGCGGGGGGTGCCGGGTGCCGGGGGCGGGTGGTGAAAGTCTCGGTCTCTGAGTGATTTCCATCTTAAGGATCCCTATAGGGCAGGATCATGTGTCCAGGTGTCCAGGCTGGAAGTGAAAGAAGTACACAAAGTGTACAGTACTGGTAAGTCTTATATTGCTATATTTATTGGTGATGATCCAGATAAATACCTACACCCAGGAAAAGGCCCACATCAAACCTGAAGGCGTGGACCTGCCAGGAAGACTAGCGGACCCTAGACAAACCAGGTTCGTACTGCACCCAAGACTGATTATAAAGCCATCAATTCCAACAACCATTGTTCTATATAATGGTCTGAATCCCAAAATAACCATATAACATCATCTAACATCAAGTGAAACATCCAGGGAGCTGGTTCTTCTACTGGTGTTTGACCCGGTCCGGTGATAACAAGTCTCAGACCGTCCTTCCTTTCCTTCAGTCGTTCCACGTGGACGGTCCACACGGGGGGGCGGTCATTCGAACCGTCGGTGTGGGCTCCCGGTCCCTGAGGACTCGGCGACTCTAGCCTCGGACTACTCCTGGAGCAATACCTCCGGAGGCGGTTCCGGTGTTTCTTTGGGGGGGCCGGCAGCGATTCGTTGAGTGGGTGGGAGGAGAAGTTGGAAGGGAGCCTCAAGGGTGTATGCCGCTAGCTCGCAAGAAGAAGAAGAAGAAGAAGACGAAGAAGAAGAAGAAGGAGAAGAAGAAGAAGAAGAAGACAAAACAGAAATACCTGCCAAGAACTCCGCAAAGAAGTTGGGCTTGCTGTTTCTTGGATCCCTTCAGAGGTCTGGTATCGGAGAGTGTCTTGAAAGGGGAGGTCTCCCTTGAAAGGCTGAAGTGGCCAAGCTTGTGGGGTAGGTCTAGACTGGAGTACCTGAAGAGCATGGCAATGATGGTGGGCGAAGCAGGAGGCACAGGCAGAAGAGCCTCCAGCCTCTTCCGCCAGGCACTCCAAACAGAAGGTCCAGACTTGTAGTTTGCTCAGGTTGCACCAAGCAAACAAGGGTTGACCTAATATAAATAAATAGTCAAGCCATTTATGGTGCATGGGATTCCTGGGTTTAATCATTCAGTGATGTTTTACAGATGTTTCAACTGAAAGGGCCATCCCCCAACAAAGCCTCTTTTGTTTATGGTTGCACCCAGGTGGATGGGAGTCAACACTTAAAGATTGATCTTGGCTTATTGTTGACTGTTGATTCCCCCCCTATGGAGATGTAAAACCTACCAGTGGTGACCTGATGGAGGGTGATATCTGCACCATGTACTTGATTGCACATTTTCCAGGGTTCAAATAATTCACTTATGGTCACTGTGATAGGTCATGCTGATGTTGGGCTGATTTTGAGAGAACCATTTTTGTCCGCCAGGCGCATCTATGCTGGAAATCAATTCACCAGCAGGTTGACGCCTACAAAAAACACAGAGGAATTCGACCTCTCAACTGCTTTGGATGCTTTGATTCACCCTTTCGCACCCTGAAACCATCTGAACCCCCCTCCTCACCCACTCTTCTCAGTGACTCCTCACCCGCTTTGCCGGGTGGAACCCACCACCCCCCCCGCAGATTATGCGGGGTCCCGCCGCCCAGCGACGGACCCACCACCTCTCGGAGGCGAGCGCACGGACCGCGGCGTGTCGAAGTGGTCGGACTCGGAGTTCTCCAGCGCCAGCGCCGGGTCCCGCGAGGTCCGGGTCCCGCGAGGGCGACGCGGATCCCGCGGTCAGTTCGCTTCGGAGAGCGGCGCCGGGGTTGGTTCGGTTCGGTGAGCGGCGTTCGGAAGGTCTGTTCGGAGACCGGGTGAGGTGACGCGGGGCGTGGCGTTCCATGTTCCGTGAAACTTTTTGGGGGGGGTGCCAGGATGTGCCAGGGGTTTTCGGAGAAGGCGTTTTTTATTTCTTGTTTTTTTCTTATGTTCGGCGGTGAGCGACCGGGAGGAGTCGTTTGGTGTTGTTTTTTTGGTTTTGACTAGAAAGAGAGGTTCCAGGAAAGGAGAGAATGGAAAGGGCGACAAGAGGAGGGGATGTTCGGGAGGGTTTGCAGAATTGGAAAGAGGTTGGAGGCCTTGGAATTCGGGGCATTGGGGAGAAGGTGACAGGGCAGGGTTTGTCGAAAGGTTGGAGCGCGAGCCAAATGCTGAGAGTTTTTTTTTTTTTTTTTAACTTGTTAATAAGGAGGGGAACGAGGGTGTTGTTTCTTGATTGGCTCCATGTTTGGTCTTTTGATATTCTTACACTGGTTTCAGAGTAGATGGCACAATCCCCAAAAGGATCCAAAAGGTGGTTTAGATGGACCCCAACATAAAGGACAGCAAA